ATTGCAAAGACCCAGTACTCCCTCAGCCATGACCCGGCACTTAAGGGGGCGCCCACTGGGTTCACCGTCCCGATACGGGATGTGAGGTTGGCGGTCGGCGCAGGATACCTGTATGCGCTGGCTGCGGATATCCAGACCATTCCTGGTCTCCCGACTGCGCCGGGATATCTGAATGTCGATGTGGATCCCGAGACTGGCGAGATAGATGGGTTGTTTTAGAATGGCTGGCTGGAAATCCGGATTTACAGTACGCGTACATGCCTTTTGACGAATTTCAACAACTCTAGAGATACCCCATTTCAACAATCATACTATAGGTGGTAGATAAAACAAAGGAATACAAATTTATTGGATGTGGTCCTCTTGGATACCGGGGCTGGTTCTCCTGCGTTGAGCGAAAGCTGCCTGTCGGGTTAGTGAAGCCCTTTGCATCCATATGCAGGCGTCTTTGAAAGGTCACGACGCCACTGCAGGAATGCCTTTCTCACCCGATCTCACGAGCTCACCCGTCTCATAGTTTATCCTCAAAAGGGAGCGAGCCATCACAAGTCTCCTGCGTGCAGGTCTGAGGTCTGCAATACTTCGCGGTGGGCTCAGCGAGGCTCGACGAGGGCCTAAATGTATTGCCGACTCCATCCGGGGTACAGGGAAATGTCGGGGTGCAGAAGTGTGAGCTCGATTCCTCCAGGTTTTAGGGAGTCATCCGTCTTCTCTGTTGATAGGGTCCCGCAATTCAGGTGAGTCAGGATGGCCCAAGACATGCAGATGCCATCGTGGTAGCCGACGGTAATCTTTCGGATGGTATCGCTGCAGGGGGCTTCAGGCTCTCCGTCTCTATTTGAGCAACGGGGGGTCGAGTGAGATAGATATCCATTGGCCACCTACGCCCGAACGGCTTCGGATGCTCTACAGCATTCCGTGTGCGTGGCTCGCAGGAGGTTGACCAAAAAAGGATGACAACGGGACGGATCGCCCGGTGTCTCTATAACCCAGACTTGATGGCCTCCGGGCAAGATCGGAAAGAGACTGGATGATTGATTGACTCTCTTATCAGAAGGCGTCAAGCAAGTTGTCCTGCTCAATCATCAGCTCGTCTTTGACATTGCGAAAGTTGGGAGCGACGTCCTCTCACTAGTCAAATATGTATCAGCCAGGGAAGCATGCACAGTAACTACCGGCATCCATTCGGCACGTAAAAGTACTCATTCCGCGGATCATAACAAGGATAGTACGGGTTTGAACAAGTCAATTGAAGCCAGGAGAGAGATGGAGAAAGCGCATATGCTTGGGAGGAGGTGATCGCTGGCGCATATAAACGCAACAGCCATTGTCTTGTGACAACACATCGAACAAGATGTCTTTTCCTTTGAGTGGGGGGTACGGGGATTTCCAAGATACGCGTCGAAATACGAGTACGAGACTAGCACGAGGGGTTTTCGAATTGGGGCCCGTCGAGTTTGTCGAGGAGGCGCAGGGAAACCAACAAGCGTGTGGTTGTCGCATGAAGTGGACACGGACATAGAAGTTCAAAGAGATGCTGTATTCGTCACTGAGTATCGCATAAGATAGGACCTTCTTGGTGTACGAGGTACCTGGTGTGCAGTTGTGTTTCGTCGTTGGTGGTGTGGAATCTCGGTGCGGAGAGCAGAAGTGGGCGCAGTTGCGAACCTGTTGCTTTCTCTAGACAAGCACCAATAAGGAACAGTTTAGATTTCGTATCTCATCATGCCTTGCGTCTCGGTCTCGAAGGTCGCTCTCCAAGATCCTTCACAATCGCAGTATCCGTTGGGCATTTCACAGCTTGTCACATAAGCCTTACAGTGTCGGGCTTGTTTTCAGTTCCGTGTTCCAGACGTGGAATCGCTGGTTCTCTTCAGCCACTAGTTCGCCTCCGTCCATCACGAATGATACCTGGAACACTCAATCGTCTTGATCCTTTTACGGCCAATTCCACCACTTACCGGCCACTTGTGCTATCCGATGTCGCCCAACAATCTGGACACCAAACCGAGGCGAGGGCTACGGGTTTCGTGTGACTCGTGCCGACGTATGAAAGTACGTCCCTAGAAGCCCTCTCACCGGATGTATCTACGTGATTGGGCTGTTGCTTGCCTCTTTCATCAGTATCACGACTCACGTGCCTATCTAGATACGATGCGACAGGCAAGGGAACAGCAACTGCTCCAATTGCCGGGCACGAGACATGCCGTGTATCCTCACTCCGGTAGAGAGGCCAAAGACAAAGGTGAAAAGGTAATGAGGAGGATATTTCACCATTGGCGTGGGCATAGCTAACCACAAACTGCATTCCTCGCCGTATAGAGCACAGTTTCTTCACTCCATAGAGTCTCGAATTGAGCGTATGGAAGCACTCCTATCTGGCTTCGCTGAGAAACAATGCACTGTCGAAACCCCCAAAGCAATAGAACCACCAGTTAGCCCACCCGGTCTGGAAAAAGAGCTTGCCAATCTACTTATATCAGAATCTGGCGAACAGAAATTCGTCGGTAAGTACAAAATGTTCCTCTGGTTGGTTCTGAAGGATGTGACTCTTACCATCTTAGGACCCTCCGAATTTTCTCTCTTCTCCCCTCGAGGTCTGGCTTGGATCCAGCGCAAGACTGGATCGAACCGTGTAGCAGCCATCGTACAGAAGTATCAGCAAGTCGGTCCCCTATGGCCCTCACATCGGGTCGGCTATCTGTCGCAGGCCGAACATGCTACTAAGTGCCGCCTCCCGAGCAAAGGGGCGGCTGTACGGCTCGTCAACAGTAAAATCACTCCTGGAAAATGCTTATGGGCTGGTCTAATAACAAGATGACAGACTATTTTACGACTTTCAACTCTATACTTCCTCTATTCGACCAGGAATCATTCTGGATCCAATTTCATCAGCTATATTCAGCCAACCCCCCGGCAAAGGGACCGTGGTATGGCGCAGTCAATGTTGTTCTGTCCATCGGATGCATTACCGCCACAGAACCCATCTGGAGTATCGTCCGCGACTCTGACCCGTCTTACTTCTCTAATGTCATGGACGTATCATGGAAGCTTTTTCAAAACGCCTCGTCGGTCCTGCTAGATATCCTCCTTGGTGCCAACGGCTTGGTGGGTGTGCAGACAGTAATTGGAATGGTATGCATCTCCGTCCCACAATCTTGGCCGTGTTGGTTGTTGATTCTTGTCCAGGCTTTCATCATGCAGGCAGTCCTAAATCCAGAGGGTGCGTTCACCTTGCTAGGAATTGCTGCTCGACTGAGCTATGCTCGTGGTCTGCATCGCTATCTTGAAGGCTTCGGCCTGTCTCAGGCAGAACTTGTGCAACGTCAGAGAGTTTTTTGGATATTGTACATCCTGGAGAAAGATCTGTCGAGCCGGATCGGTAGACCCTCTTGTATCGATGACGACGACATTGGCTTCGGTTTCCCTGGCGAACAGTCGCACGGTACCGATGGCATTACCATATCAAGTGCTGCCTCTGGCGATACGAAGTTCTACCCTTTTCACCATATGTGCGTGCTTGCGCGCATTGAGAGTCAAGTGTACAAAGAACTATATGCGTATTCTGCGCGGCTAAAAACAACGAGCGAGAGACTCGAATCTATCAGCAGGCTGGATGCAGAGCTTCAGGAGTGGAAGGAGAGCTTCCCTGTGGAGATCAGACCGGAACATCCCATCCAATGTGAGTCGGAGAACAGATTTTCGATCGTCGTTCTTCACTTTGGATACTATCACTGCGTGAGAGCTGTCCACCGTGTCAATGCACAGTGAGTTCCCCTCGCTCTTCCCGAAGGTTCTAGTATTAGACCCAGGGCACCCTCGACGGGGCTCTGTCAAAGTCGGCATTTGCTAACAGATATTTGTAGCCATGAATTGTGGTCGTTGGAGGCCGATGAAACTGAGAACACCAATTCGAATCCCGCCACTTTCAGCCCAGATGCTCCAAGCCCTGATGATACAATGAACGTCAAGGTCAATTCCTCCTATGCGCTATGTCTGGCAGCAGCGCGATCGATCCTCCATCTCTCAGTAGTGTATTTGCAGAATTGGAAAGATCCCAGAAACACTCTGATATGGATAAGTCCATACTTTCCCTTCTCAGCATTCTTGACGCTGTTCGCCTTCATGCTGAATGCCCCTCTGGATCCAAAGGTGGCCGCGGATCAAGCTCTTATGGAGGCAACATTGAGCTGCATCGATGGAATGCTACACACAATGGACAGGGAAACCATGACCTTTTTTGCGGATATTGCGGGCGAGCTTCTCACAGTTGCCAAACAGCATGTTGAGAATGCCCGTGCCCGCGTGGCTCAAGAAAAGGGCAAGGGCCCAACAATACCGGAAACCCTCGCTGGGACGCCTTTTGCCGGCTTCGCCCAAAATGACGCTGCTGCTTACACCGCCATGGGAAGTAATATACAATCGTCGGTTCCGACCAGTTCGAATGCGCAACAGGATCCTCTGGGTTCAACCGCCACTAACCTGCAGAGTAGATTCGACTACACTGGTATCGGTTCTGCTATGAATCCGCTGTATCCAACAAATGATGCTTTTGATCCAGGCATGATGAACGATGGCCAATTTTCGATACAACAAAACTTGATGGACGATCCATTCTTCTTCATGGAGGACGCTGGTTGGGACTGGAGCTATTGATCTTGGCCCGTTAACAGCAGTCGTACATATCTGGACTTGCGGACAATACGTATCTTATGACAGGCCGATATGTCTGCCGCCATTGAGAGCGTTCACTTGCCGCTCTTCAACAAGACAAGTCTCCTGGTCATCATAAGCTCCGGGATCGGCTTGACGGCAACCCCGCAAGTCGTCTCCACATATCGACTTGAAGACTCAGCGGTTCCCATACAATAGTGGACGACGGCTTGCCATCCAGACTATAATTTGGTCAAGCAGGCACCGATACCGTAGCATCAGGTCGATAAGCACTCATTGGTGCTCTTCAAAGACTCAAGTTATCACAAATTTCCTGATCACTAGCGATGGGAATCTCGCCCTTTAGAATCGACATTACCAAACAAGAAGTCGAACGACTACAAAGGAAGTTGCAAGACACGAGGATTCCAAAAACACCCATTGTTCCTGGGGCTGGTAGCGACTATGGTCAGTATACATTCGAGAATACCAACCCAATTCTGGGGTTCTGATCTGGAAACAGGTCCTCCGATTGAATGGTTCCAGCGTCTCACCAACAAATGGCGAGACGAGTTTGACTGGTTTTCTATACAAGAACATCTGAACCGACATGACCACTTTCTCGCTGACATTGACGATGAGAATTCCCAGCTGCGAATACATTTTACGCATATCAAGTCGAGAAGAACCGATGCAATCCCTCTTATCTTGGTCCATGGTTGGCCCGGCTCATGGCACGAGTTCGACCGTGTGGTTGACGCCTTTGCCTATCCCGAGAACGTTTCGGACCCGGCATTCCACGTCGTGGTGCCGAGCCTACCTGGATTCTGTTGGTCTTCTGCACCCCCTCGGCGGGGCTGGACGATGCAAGACACGGCGCGGGTCTTCAATAAACTGATGATCCGGCTTGGTTATACGCATTACGTTGTGCAAGCGGGTGATTGGGGATCGTTTGTGGCCCGCGAAATGGGTGTCAAGTTCCCAGAGTGCAAAGCAGTCCATCTAAACTTCTGTCCGGTCGAGCTGGATGACAGTATCACAGACCTTACACCCCGTGAGGTGAAAATCAAACAACGCTGCCAAGATTGGTTGGATAACCATCTCGGGTATGCTGTTTGTATGCGGACCCGTCCACAAACCATTGGTGTCGCGCTGAGTGATAACCCGGTCGGAATACTCGCCTGGGTCGGGGAGAAATATCTGGAGGCGGTGGCTCCCGCAAAGGTTGAGTCTCCAGACCCAATATGGGACCAGGCAATTCTCACCACATGCTCTCTGTATTATTTCACAGACTGTATCATGTCTTCGAGTCTACCATATTTCGAAGGTGTCAAGCATGCAGATTTTGGCAACTTCTTCCTGAAGCAAGAGAATTATATCGGGGTGCCTATGGGATACACCAGCTTCCTCTATGACACAAGGCCAGGGACCGAGAGAAGCGTGAGGAAGACGGGACGACTCGTGTTCTACAATGGTGAGTTTCTGGCACTGAATTCTTCAAAGGACATACTGAGAGTCTCACCACCGTGCAGAGTGCGATGATGGCGGTCATTTCGCTGCATTGGAACGGCCAGACGTTATTCTCGCTGACTGCCGGAGGTTCTTTGGGGAGTGGTACAACGCTTGAAGTAGAGTGCTTATACGAGAAGATTTTCACTACTGGCATTTCTGGACTCAGGTTTCCCTGGAACCATGGGTTTCTCGACATGTTTTTGGTGTGCGAGCTTGTGCTTATCTCAATATCAGCGAGAATGGAAGATTGCTCTGATTGACGAGAGGTTCTGCGGCGTGTATAGGCCAACCAGTATGTCAGAGCCCAAAAATATGCCCGATGGATCTCATCACATCTCCGAACCGGCTAGGTGTCTTGATACTCGGCCTGAGCGGTAGAAGGCTAATGTATTTAGCTATTTCCTTGTTAGATTGACTCGCTAAGATACACGTGCGTCGGTCTGAAGTCCTAGCACGCATATACTGTATTTCCGGATAGTTCATTTACAACGGTATTGCGGCCGGAGAAATGTTAGTGGAAACTTACTAGTTGTTGATAGAAGTGCGCATGGGTGGTGCTGCGGATCCGAACGTATGACGTCAACCTTCAGCCTCGTCAGCACAAGGCTGTCGCGCTTGATAACAAACCAGATTTGGAGATTTGGCATGTTTGTCAATCAGCATCACTTCAACGATCCTCCATACACCGAACTCTCTTGCCTCGCTCAGTCATCGAATCCCGCTTGTGACGAAAGGCAGGGGCGCAATGGAAGTCCGAACCACTCGGTGACGAAGTGAAAAGGATAAATCATGAGGATCTGGACTAAGCTCGGGATTCCGAGCTCGATCAGGACCCGAACAGTCGAGTGTTGCGGACTGTCACCTCGCCCTCTCTCGGTCTTCCCACAGAAGTCTCTCCTTTCAACCTGGACTCTAGGATGTGGGCATCTTACAAGACCACCAGTGCAATATGCTGGTAGACGCCTGACTCATCCCGCCGGACGAGCATCATCAACGCAAAGAATCTCCTCGAACACGGACCTTGTAGACGGCGCGCTGGATGCGTCAGACTCGAGCCTGAACGCCAAGAATGGCAAAATCACCTGTATCTACTTTGACAAATCCGGCCGCTTTAACGCCGAGCACAGGCAACTCACCAAGGCCGAGATTGGAGAGCAGTTCGAACTCCGTCACCGAGACCTCCGGGACATTGACCTCAAATCCGAGGCGGTGACGCGCATCTTGGTCAGGCCAACCACCATCCTGCTGCAATTCTTCCAGCTGTGCATGATCATCCAGGCGGACGAGGCACTCCTGATCTACAATCAGCCGCAAACCAGCGGTGACAGCGACAACGACGACAGTAACGGCGCTGATGACTCCTCCCCGCGGAAAGACGACAGTGAGTTCTACCACGAATTCGAAAAGCGCATGTCGGGCCCGACGATCGAGACGGCCGACGTGCCGGAACTGCCGTACGAGCTGCGCGCCGTAGAGGCGGCGCTGGTGGCGGTGCTCTCGGTGCTGCGACGCGACCTCATCGACGCGCGGCACAAGGCAGAAGAATCGGCGGCGAGCCTGCGACTCGACTCGGGCCTGGCGGCGGTGGGGCTGAACCTGGTCTTCGACCGGACGCGGCGACTGAGCAAGATCGAGCAGAAGGCGCGGCTGGTGCGGGACACGATCCGCGAGGTGCTGGACACGGACGAGGACCTGGCGGGCATGTACCTCTCGGACCGGGTGGCGGGGCGGCCGCACGCGATAGCCGACCACCAGGAGGCCGAGTACATGCTGGAGGCGTACCACAAGGCGGCCGACACGCTGGTCGAGTCTGCGCAGGCGGCCGTCGACGTCCTGCGCAGAAAGGAGAACACGTTCCGCTCGTCACTGGCCGTCCAGCGCAACCAGATCATGTTCCTCGAGGCCCGCATCGCCATCCACACCCTCGGTCTCGCCGCCGGCACCATGGCCGCCGGTCTCTTCGGCATGAACCTCCTCAACTACCTCGAGGACGCGCCCCATGGCTTCTTCTACGTCGCGGGCGCCTGCGTCGTCCTCAGCGCCCTGTTCTCCATGCACGGCATGCGGAGTCTGAGGAGGATCCAGACCCTCAAGGGCATCCAGCGGTCTAGGGCTGGAGGACGTCGGTTTTAGATCCAGCACAGGCAGCACCCCCTCCTTCCTCCTCCTTTTCCTGTTCTTGGGCTGGAGTGGGCTGGGCTGGGCTTTTTAATAGTCCTTCAGGATATTCCTTGGAGTCGGCGGTCATCATTTTTAGACATGGTCAACGAGATTCTACAGTAAACTGTAACCCCATTCTTAGCTTCTTTCTTTCTTTTCCCTCGGGGGTTTCACTCTCCGGTGTCTTTTCTCCCCCCCCCCACCCCCATTCTCTCTTCACGAGACAATAGCGTGGACCGTCTCTTTGTAGACCGTCCGGACCATGCCCCCGTGTCCCAGTGCCCCAGCGGTATATCATATATCCGCAAGACACCGTGTCGGTATTACATTACATTATATAACATACAATCCGTAGAATTTTTCTTTACAAGATGTAATATCAGCGCCACGGCCGGCGTTCATCAAAGTCACCTTGGGCACCTGGCACCTCGTCTCACAGGCCGTACACATATTGGAGAATGAGAATGAGAAATGCCCAAAAGTGATGGGAGTCTGAGTAGACCGGAAAATCGAGATGTTAAGACTGCAGAGGAAATGCAAAATAACTTTGCTGAGGAGAAACCCCTGCCTATTGCATCCTGGCAGCATATGCATGCACCACTGAAAGGACGAAGAAAAGTCATTGATTCCCGTGGATTTCTCACCGAGTTGCTATTCGTAAACCGCAAGTACATGTCATGCCATGCCATTGCCATGTATATTCCACAGACGCTGAAGGTCTTTGCCGTAGAGTCCAACACAGCTCGTAAAGACCCGTAACCTCAAATTTTTCGTTCGTTCTAGAGACAGATCCAATTGCCCGTTACGGTTTGGGAACGTGTAATGTTCTGCTCGTCATGAGAACCCCATTGACGAGAAAGATCACCACCAAGGGGTGAAACTCGAGCGCGGTTCCACTGAAGAAAGTCCCCAAGGGGATATCTCCATGTATCCACCCAGACCAAGCGCAAGCAGTCATCATCGTCAAGCTTATCAAGCAAGCAAACGGTATTGGCGTACCCTCGAAGTACTTTGATTTCCCAGACTTATCCTTCGGTAGCATTGCAACAGTCACATTGAATCGCGCCAGTCTCGTCAGTCCGCAGAGAACGTAGAAGCTCAGGAAGAGCTGATCGACGTTTGTACGAAATCCCATGGCGAACCCAGCGGCAGCGGTAGCGACGCCAAATGTGACCTAGAGAACACGCTGTCAGGATCATGCCAGCAGACCAACATATATTTTCGAGCATACCAAATCTGCAAGCGAGTCCAACTCTTGACCCATCAGGGATGACTTCTCTCTCCACCGCGCCACCTTACCATCCAGAAAGTCGAAGAATAGTCCAAAGGGCATTAAGCCGAAGGCGAGCCATAGATTTGTGAGATCGCTTGGGTCTGCGAGACAATAACGCATCGAGGAGAGAATTGACATGACTGTGCAACGGGTCAGCAGCGAGGGCAATGCCCCATGTTGAGAGACGCACATCCACAGAAACCTGGTTGAGTATGAGCATGTGTGTCCTATTTCAGGGCGTATGTGAGACTCACCATTCATTTCAGTGATCAGATCGGCGAGATGAAGCGCCCTGCCCAATTGTGAGTCTTTGCCGCGGCCGGAAGCGATACTGCACGTACCTGACCAGACTAAAATGTCCTGTGTCTTGAGATAACAGCATTGCTTGCTTCGACTGAGCATTATCCTTGGGCTGCGCAGGACTTTGTTTCTCGACGCCATTGGTGGACCCCACTCGCCGTGACATGGCTTTCGTGCTTGGGTGTAAGAAGATGAAAAAGTTGAGGATTCGGAGGTCTAGGGTTAGAGAAGAGGGTGTTCGAGGAAAAGAGTAAGGTAATACCACGGCATAGGACAGGACAGGCAGGGGAAATAAAAGCTCGATCAACGCGACGGACTTGGACTTTTGAAGAACCAAGGCACAGCCGCAGTCAAGTCACTGATCAGCAAACTTCAGGCTGTGCGGCTTGTGTCGTCATTATGCAGCGCGTGTGGCTTCCGTCACTGGGAAAATCAAACAGAAGGGAAAAAGGGCCCATCACGTGCCAGGAACACAGAAGCCAATGCTGAGAATTCGAGACCCTCTAACTCGCTCCATTTGAGCAGACCGGGAGTCTCTACTGGAGAGGTTCCCCTTGATTCAAACATAAGAAATCATCAGCCCATGTTTTACTGGTGACCGTTGCTAGCCTTCCCAAGTTCCCAGATCATCTCTGGCCACCACTTTTTAGAACGGGTATCCTTCCCAACGCCGGTACTATGCGAAACAGAGGCAGCCACGTTTGACAGGTCAAAGACAGGTCAGGCTGTCCTTTAGAACCTGCCACGGCCTCTGGAAGAGAAGCCACCTCCCCTCGAAAAGCCACGTCCTCCTGGTGCTCCTCCACGACCCCCGCCTCTGGGACCTCCTCGACCACCTCCACCGAACGAGCCTCTGCCTCTGGGTGCTCCCCGTCCAGGTGCACCCCGGCCTCTAAACGCTCCTCTTCCTCTCATTCCTCCTTGTGCACCCGCCGGCTTCCTGACCTTTGCTGCACCTGCTCAAAGTGTAAGCAACATGTATGCTGAAAGAATCATGCGAGACTCACCTGGTGGCGGTTTGGGTTTGGGCAAGAACCTGTTCGTCACTTCTTAGCAAGCTGCACATCTCCCATGTTTGTTTCAAAACGTACTTCTCTAGTGGTAGCAACTTGTCCCCTCCAATGTAAAATTTGTCACCCTTCTTGAACGACGTAGCTTGAATACCTTCTTGCGGCTTGATTGTGAAGTAGACTTGGTTGATGGGTCCCAGGATCTCATCCACTTTTCCTATGGTAGTCTGTGCCGGTCAGAGTAGTCCAGACGAGCCAGAGAGAATCTCTCTACCTTGTTCTCGAGGTATATTGGGGCGTTGAAAAAGGGTATCTTTGCGTTGACGGACTCGCAGACCATCTCACCCTCGGTGGCGTGGATGAAGGTGCCCATTTCTACCACAAAATTAGTCACAAGCAAGTCGCAAACACACTCAGGGCCTTACCAAAGACTTGTGCAGGCGGGCCAAAGCTCTGTTGTTGGAATCCACCTCGCCCTGCTCACCACCGTCGGTCAGTCACATTTCTCCGCCGCAGCAAAAAAGTGCGCGCAATTTCGAGTTTCGGGGCAAGAGATAATTTTACCTCCACCTCTTCCACCAAACGATCCTCTTCCTCTATCACCACCTCTGAAGCCGCCACGTCCTCGCGCATCACCTCGGAAGGCCATTGTTGTTGTGGACAGTGGGAGTTGTGGCAGGCTGTCCTTGAATCTTTGGGGAAAATTAATTTTGCTGCATCTGCATCTCCATGTTTAGAGCCGTGGTCGGCCGGCACGTGACTGACACCTCATTTTTACGGACGGCCACCACTTGCCATACCCACTTGAGCGGCATAATATTCAATCCGCATACATCTCCACTCAGGTCTTTCGCTATGAGCCACCAGAAGAAAGCGAGTCTCAATCCCCACGATCTTTGGGGGGTCTTGAAAGGAGACGGTGTGACTCAAACCCGCTCCGCTGCCACTGACTCATCGACCCCTGAGGCCAAAACATCAAAGAGACCGGTGAGCCCAACTTCGAGCAAGAAACTCCCCAACAGACCCAAAGAAATGTCTACTCAAGCAGCCGCCCCTGAGGCGCACCAAGCGCCCAAGTCTCTACCCGATTTCATCCTAGAAAGAAACCAGCTCTTCGACCAGCTGAAGAAGCAGCGTGACGAAGAACTCTCCAGCAGGGATAAACCAACAATTCAAGTCACCCTTGTTCCTGCTCCTGGCCAAGAAACCTCCGTTGAGGGCAAGGCATGGGAAACCACGCCTGGTCACCTGCTGAAGAATCTGCCCAAAGACCGCGCTGGGCAAGTCGTGGTGGCCAAGGTCGATGGCGAATTGTGGGATCTAGACAGGCCATTGGAAAAGGACAGCAAAGTGTCATATCTCACGTTCGACGACCCCGAAGGCCGTGATGTCTTTTGGCACTCTTCAGCCCATGTGCTTGGCGAATGTGCTGAGCACGAGTACGGCTGTCGCCTCTCTCACGGTCCTCCCACCGCTATGGGTTTCTTCTACGACATGGCTCTCGAGCCTGGCAAGGCCGTCCGTGAAGCCGAGTGGCCCTCCCTAGAGAACCGTGCGAAGAGATTTGCAAAGGACAAACAAGCCTTTGAACGCCTCGAAGTCTCCAAGGATAATCTCCGCAAAATGTTTGGCTACAGCAAATACAAGATGCACTACATTGAGAAGTTTGTGCCAGACGGGGAGTCATCCACCGTGTATCGCAATGGCACGTTGGTAGATTTGTGCCAGGGCCCGCATATCCAGAACACGCGCAAAATCGAGTCCTTCAAGATCATGAAGAACAGCTCTGCATATTTCCTGGGCGACCAGAACAATGACTCCCTTCAGCGCATTCACGGCGTCGCTTTCCCCACGAAACAACAACTCAAAGACTGGGAACATTTCCTCGAGGAGGCCAAGAAACGTGATCACCAGGTCATCGGCCAACAGCAGAAACTCTTCATGTTCAGTCGAATGTCTCCTGGTTCACCGTTCTTGCTTCCCCATGGAACTCGCATCTTCAATGCTCTCCAACAAATGCTCCGCGACCAATACTGGGAACGCGGATATCAGGAGGTTCAGTCCCCCAATATGTACGATGTGGATTTGTGGAAAATCTCGGGCCACTGGCAACATTACCAAGACGACATGTTCCGCGTGATAGTGAAGGAAGATTCTGCCGACCCTATGCCGCTGAGCGACAAAAAGCCAGACGGCAAGACCCCTCTCGCAGAAATCAAGGATAAAGACAAGGGTGTCTTCGCTCTGAAACCCATGAACTGTCCAGGCCACTGCGTCATGTTCCGCGACGAAGAGCGCTCCTACCGCGAGCTACCTTGGCGAGTGGCGGACTTTGGTGTGCTTCATCGCAACGAGGCCTCTGGCGCTCTCTCTGGCCTCACCCGAGTGCGCAAGTTTCAGCAAGACGACACGCACATCTTCTGCACCAACGAACAAGTGCAATCCGAGATCGAGGCCCTGTTCGACTTCATGTCTCATGTCTACGGTTTGTTCGGGTTTCCGTTCAAGCTGAAATTCTCTACGCGACCTGAGGGATACATGGGCACGCTGGAAGACTGGGACGCAGCCGAAGCTCGCTTGAAGCAAGCCTTGGTCAACTTCCGAGGGGACGACTGGGAGATGAACGAGGGTGATGGTGCCTTTTACGGCCCCAAGATTGATGTCACGATTTCCGATGCGCTGGGCCGAGAGTTCCAGTGTGCGACCATCCAGCTGGATTTCCAGGGCCCCCAGAACTTCAAGCTCGAATACCGCACCGGCGAGTCTGGGGATGTTGTCGCCCAGCAATCCGAGGAACACCGCGAGCGCGATCCCAAAGCACCAGCTCCGGGCATGGCGCGTCCAGTGATGATCCATCGTGCCATCATCGGCTCTTTTGAGCGCTTCATCGCCATTCTCTGTGAACACTTTGCGGGTAAATGGCCGTTCTGGCTCTCTCCCCGCCAGATCCTCGTTATCCCCGTCATGAAGTCCGCCGAGGATTACGTGCGCGAGATCCAGGGAATTTTCCACAAGGCGCGTATGTACGTGGATATTGATGTCAGCGGAAACACGTTGCAAAAGAAGATCAGGACGGGCCAGTTGGCGCAGTATAACTTCATCTTTGGTACGTATCTCTCTCTCTTTTCCTGTCTATCCCTTCTTTCCAAAAGCAAAACAGGGAAACTCCGAGTGATGGGTATGGGAGAGAAATCTCCTTGCCCCCATCTTACTTTTTTTGGCTTTTGATCATCTCCCAATCGTGGTTCACCCTGCTAACTTTGGCTTGTTTAGTCGTCGGCGCGAAAGAAAAGGAGACTCGCACCGTGAACATTCGAAACAGAGACGACCCGTCCACGCAAAAGATGGGCGAACTGATTCCGCTGGAAAAGGCGCTGGAGCGATTGACGCAGCTGCGCGACGAGAGGAAGCTGGAGAATAAGATTGACATGAGCCACTAAATCCCTCGCGCCCTGCCATCCACACTGAGTGTCTCCGTCAAGCCAGCCAGCTTGCCAGCCAGCAAGCTAAATAGATGACCCGGACAAAGTTGGACGCTGAAGAGATAGAAAGCAAAAGATCAATATCAGAGCAACGCAGATTGGCGCATGAATGTGTCTGGTCTTTCTTGAAATGTTTTTGTTATCTGAACACGTCGCAACTTTGTTTGAGCCCTGATGCCCGGAACCGTGGCAGTGGAAATCAATTCATGGAGGATGAAAAAGAGATAGAATGTCACGGTGGAAGGTCAGCCAGCACGCATAGCATGCAGTCAGATACTCAACAGACATGGCGGGGGAAGAAAACCACTGGGTATATTCTTGTTCCTGTCCTGCACGAAAGAGAGCATCAGAGCAGCATCGCCGATAAAGACAGACTCATGCCGAATTGACCTCCACTTTGCCCCGTCTCTTAGTAAACATTCCCATTCTCGAGTCGACTGATGTCCGTTTGATTTGACAAGCATGCATTTTATATTTACACACGAGACACATCCAGAGGGCCGGTCGTCCAACAATAAGACAGAGCCACAAACCTTCTCGTAAAAACAAGTGATTCTAGGATAAAGACTCAAGCTGTCTGCTCTGGAGTTTCGCCCTCCGCCACGACGGGGACAGGCAGTCCTCGACTGGGACTCTGCAAAACGAGGGCCTCGTGTCTTCTTGCCCGCAAAAAGTCTGACACGGCCCGGATCAAAATAAACCAACCAATAATCATGAGAATGTAGGAAATCCAATCTGCGCTGGTGAAACCGCCCATGTTGCTAGACCCTCCCGGAGACTGATCTCCGCCCCCATTCACAGTATTGGGGTCGAAGCTGTGACTGTTCGGATCAGGCGGGCTGGAGTTAGAAAACTGCCCTGGATTTCCGGTGTCGGTCGGACTATCACTGGAACCGCTCATATAGAAACCGTATTGTACAAGCGTCAGTCCGAGGCCGGCGCGACTACCATGCTTGGCTGCGTGAGTGGTATGAAGAAGGTAAGTGAGTAGGAAGCCGACGAGTTGGAAAGACATAGAAATCATGCCGTTCCACACAAACGAGAAAACGGATCCAACAGGCAGGCCATCGACATAGACCTCATCTGAGGACATCCCAGGTGCGAGGATTGTGGTCTCCCAGTAAGGGGGAGTCGCATCAGCAGCGGCTTGTTCATATGTCTAATAGAAGTCAGCGAAATCATGCGGAGCGGTTTTGCGCAAAGATACATACAGGAGGCTTTTCTTCGAGCTGCTCGCCACGTTCAGGCTTTGCGGACAAATTTGCAAAAACTCCATCGGTGGCTCTCATGGACGCAGGCATAGGTCTGAAGGCAGGGAGTTCCGTCACTCTTCGTTCATAGGTACGCGCCGGCCGGGTCTCGGGAACAGCGGTTGAGGAGGGGGATGCATCTTGTCTGGAGAGTCCAGTGTCGGCTCTCATCAATCGTTGTCTGTCGTCGCCGTCATTCTCGGCATCAGAAGCCTCACCATCGTCAAAGGTGTCTTCCAAATGATCTTGATCGGCGTGAGTAGATAACGGATCCTGGGCCAATAGGCGCCTGGAGGTGGGTGAGGAGGCTCTAGATCGGAATGACGGTGGTGGTGAGGATGGAATAGGACCAGCAGTGTCTGGAGAGATAGGAGAATCGACATCGTCGTCGTCGTGCGTGTTTAGCTGTGGAGTGTTAGTGATGAAACTGGCCGACCAGGCCGCAATGGTAGAGAATAACATACTGCTTCATATCGTTGAGGGGCCATTTCAGGCCAGGCAACCTCGTAGGTTTATCCCCAGTGCGCTCAAGCAACCAACCAAAGATAGTTCGAAACTGCAAATAAATGAGGAAAGTCGGATGGTGTATATAGGGTGACTTGAGGGAAATAAGGAAATAACGACGACTCTGTGATGGACGAGGTGAGGGAAGGAATGATGTGGAAGTGGAAGGACAAAGACCCGAGGGCTGAGGGCGGTGTTTGAGATGCTTACAGTTGACGAATCCAGAGGGTTAGAGCGCAGGCGCAGGCGCAGGGTCATGGGGGAATAATACGGACCACTGGCACTGCGGCCTTGGCCCTTGTTATTATTGTGGCCAGACACTGGATCGACCATCATCCGCCACCACCATCCCCATTTGCGGCATGGTCCTTGATTATTCCACCTCTACTCGGTACAAGTAGAGTCGTCATCAAAATTATTGCTAACGATCCAGTCAAGCCTGTCAAGGTCTCTGGTTCCGCAGCTCTGAGTGCTCGGGACTTGTTGATTTACAATCCAATCCCAACTCTTTAACATGGCAGCTAATCAATCGGTACGTCCCTCTGAGAGAATCTCAAGTCAATCTTGCTCATACATGTTCAGGTAGCTCTAAAGCACTGGGCGCGCATCATCAAGCAATGGCCACTCGACCGTGTCCGCCCGTCTCATGTCCATTTCCAACGGGTCATGCAGTCCCGTCTACAAAAGCTCCAGTCAGGTGCGCCGGCTGCGGTTTCATCCAAGTCCAACGATGCCCTTGTGACGCCTGTCGAGCCTTTCAATGAGCAAAAGGAATTGCGACAAGTAAACGCTCTATACTCGCTACTTGAAAATCGATACGCGAATGAGTATCCTATACCGCAGGCAGTCCGTCATCCCAAGACCAATGCTTCCCACTACGATGATTTGGTCAGAGAGCTGGATGAAGCACCGGCAAGATCATGGTTCACGTCCTTCTGGAACCGTCTCAAAGGGTCTGTGCGTCTGAGATAACAAAGGTTCTGGTGGACGGATGCCCTCGACTTCCACGTCTCCTAGATGAACAGACCCATCACACCCACCAGTTGCTTTGAAGGGAGCTTATATGTTCGAGTCGACATGTCCTGGAAGAGCTAGGTATCTGGATTTTTCCCGAGTGACTGGGTTGAAGCTGTACGGTTAATTTATAGCCAACCTCGACTTTGTTCTGGACCCGACCCCAATCCAGCCGGCAGCAGCATCGAACGAGAGTTACACAAACTATCGAGCCGTGTCCACTTAATGTTGTCGCCTCAATCTTGATCGAGGATGCGTGGTATCACCATGTTGCGGGGAGGCCAATGCATGACCTGATAGAACCGATCCCACTGATGAGGCCTAAAGGGCAGGGCGAATTCACCTCAGGGGTGAGAGGGAGAAATTGAACGGCCCTTCCATGAGGACCAGTTCTGATAGCCACCCGTCACCTTGACTTAGTCTCAACTGGATATATCTCACTATCAAGGGTCAAATGGTTCAAAACAGGATACTTGCAGACATGGTGATTGTTGAGTTCATCGGCCACTCCCAGTGTTGGGTCAGATGAGTCTGGCTGGTTTAGCCAGCACGCTGAGGGAACAACAAGGTTATTGGTATGCTCGGCGGAGAAAGGACTGTCCTACGTTCAATGATGATTCGGCTGGTGAGTCGATTCTTCGTGAAATATACACCTAATGTGTTTGACTGGTGCGGCAAGGCCTCGGGGCGCAATGGGACAGATATAAAGTCGAGCAGTGAAACATCATGGTGGCGTTACTCGGATATATGCTGTCCATAGTCCAACCCTGTTTGCCTTGGGCGCACTATCAGTCCACAGGTTCAATGGACAAAATGACATTCTATACATGTGTTTCAAACAACGAGTCCGTTTCTATGTTTTATATTTTACTGCCCAGCCTCCCTGCGCCTTCCCCCATCTCCATTACGGCGACGCCCTCATCCTCCAGCGTCTCTGTCACGAATCTCACCATGTGCGGCACCATGCTCGGGGGCACATCATGCCCCACGCCCTCGAAAACGATGTCTTCGATGACGAACCCGCTGCCCTCGAACCACCCTCCCTTGCCGCTGACGGCCTTGAGCCAGTCTATGAACGGCTTCGAGTGCGCGTAGGGGACCAATTTGTCCGCGCCGCCCGAGAGGTTCAGGAGACGTTTGTTCCCGAAACACCGCGTCATGACGGGGAGTAGGATCGCGCGCTCCTCCTCGGTCACCTCCGTGTGCAGCTTCTCCTGGTCCCGGCGCCAGTTCAGCCCGGGTAGCGACCACAGCAGGCCCGCCGGGTCGGACTTTTTCACCGCCTCGACCAGGCTGGGCGGGAAGTCGGTCGAGCCCAGAAAGTCCCGGCCTGGCGGGTCGGTGGACGTGTACGACTTGCGCCGCGACAGGCGCGCCCGGTCGGTCATGACGCGCGTGTAGTCCGGGCAGCCGATGGTGATGACGGCGGCAGACACGCGCGGGTCGTGCATGAGGACGTGCCACGCCGCGTGGCCGCCGAGGCTGACGCCCAAGACGAGGTTCTGCACGATCCTGCGCGGGTCGCTGGCCCCGCCGAAGATGTACCCCGGCAGGTAATCCAGCAGGAGCGACGTGTCGACCGCCGTGCCGGCGAAGCAGCTGAACATGTCCAGAGCGTGGTGTTCGTTCCCGGACCGCCAAGCCTCATTGGCGATCGCAGACACCAGACGCGAGCCGTGGTTCCGCTGGTCGAACGTCACGGCGATGAGGCCCTTCGTTTTCCTCTTCATCGTCCCGCTCCGTGGCTTGGCCTGGGCCTGGTGCTTGTTCCACTCCGAGATGATGTGCGCCGCAAACGGCGCCATGCACGCCTGCGTCTGCAGACGGGGGTGCAACAGCCAGAGGACCGCAATGTCGGTGGTGCCCGAGGGGACCTCATCCAATCCGAAGACCGTCACCAAAATCCCTGCTATATGGTGTGTACTTGACGATACCGGCTCGGGGTGTGGAATTGATTTGGCAGTGGATCCGCTATTCGCTGTGGGAGGAACCCCGTAGGTCGAAGCCACAGGGTTGGACATTTTCTGCAGGTTGTGGCAGAGAGGATAGGGGGAGACAGAGTGGAAGATTGTAGGAAAGTAAATAATATGAGTGTCGAAGGAACGAATTGCTGTTACTACGAGGTACAAGCACGTCCCATGTGCCGCGGTCTCGGCGATTTTGTCGAGACATGCGGGGACAATTTTTCGGGAATTTCCCGATTAGCGAGAATCGCACAATCGCCGCCACAGCCTCGTGTCTACGGGATCGTCAAGTACTTGGTAAAACACATCATCATCTATTCTCTGCGTTTCAGCATTGTGGAGTCGATATCTATGTAAAAGGTTCTTTGCCGATCTGACCCTCGCACATAGTAATTGGTTCCTCGAACTCCTCCGCTGTATTGGTTACAAAGGATAGAAGCATTCACTGAAGTCTAACCACCCTTGTTGACCCGACAGACTACAATCACAACGTTCGAAATGAAAGCTCTTTGCCATAACTCAAATCTAATCTTGCATCGGACAATTTGAAACTTGGTTAGTGTCAACAGAAGCCCTGATCTGTCATCTGTTTATCTGTCATCTGTTGTACCTTGCGAGGGTCTCCATGATATTTTGTACGTTCTGTTGAGATTGTGGGCCAGCAGCATAAGCCGGTGCACCAGGTCCATAACCTTGTGGCTGTGGCTGCTGCTGATGATGATGCGGAGGACCGTGTGGCGACGGGAATGGTGCTCCTCCATGGCCCTGCTGTTGGCGGGTGACATTGCTTAAAAGGCCCACCAGGTCAGGGGTCGGTTTGCCATTTGGCACAACGTTCTCTGGCTGCCCGTCACCCGGCTGTCGTAGATTCGCTAGCAGTTGCTGCAGATTTGGCGCAGCTGAAGCTGAAGTCGGAGTCACTGGTGTCTGTGCCGGGTTATGATAGTGGGTGTTCTGGCCGTATTGAAAGTGGTTGTGCTGTTGCGGCGGTGGCGGCGGCGGTTGTTGCTGCTGGTGGTGATGTTGAGGGAAAGGTGCTGGTGGGTATTGTGTCGGCGGAGGAGGATAGCCATATTGAGAATACCCCTGTGGCTGATAGGACTGGGGGCTTTGTTGCACACTTCCCCGTTCCTTTTGTCGGGCATGAAGCACAATATCTGCGGCAACAGGGACATCAAGATCAATATATTCATTAAAGTTGACATTCGACGTCCCTTGACTCCGATCAAAGACCTGTAAGGGTATCTTGCTGTTGTACTGGTTGGCTTGCGTCAGTTTCACCACAGCCTGCACACCTTCGATGATCTGCCTCTTCACAATTGCGTTCAGAGGCAGTCTAGGACTTAGCCATATCGTTGAAGCACGTAAACCCTTGTTGCGGAAACCTTGTTCGATCCAGTTCATGAAGCTTGGAGCCACCGAAGGCTCCAGGATGAGCAGTTGCACGTCCGGCACATCTCGTGGATCTCTGCGAGGTAAGGGGAGGGTGGCTTCCTCATCGTATCCTGCCGAAGGTGGATTTGAGAAGCTGGGAGTAAAGGGGGAATTCGGTCTCCCACCACTTCCATAGCGGGGACTTTGAACAGGTTGCCGGTAGTCATCTCTGGATCGATAGGCTCTAGGCGAGGGGCTCCGTCGGTACTCCTCGCGTCTACCTCTCTCGTCTCGAAAATCACTATAGTTAGGGCGTCCAAATCGATCCGTCTGACGCGAGGTACCACGATCTGGTGATCGAGATCGGCGTCTTTTGTTTCCTTGCTGGCCTTGCTGGCTTCGTGTATTCTTCTGCGGCTTCGATATCTCAAGATGAATCTTCCTTCCTCTAATTTCGACCCCTTGTTCCGCTTGAAGCGCTGCTTGACACGACGAGGCCTCAAGATATTGCACGAAGCCATAGGCCTGTTTAATGGAGATCTGGGCAAGTTTCCCGTGTTTGTGGAAAATGTGGAAAATATCACGTTTGGTGACCTTTTCACTGGGCAGATTACCAACAAAGAGACGTGAAC